GTGAGTCTTCCGGTGGGGTAGATGGGGCTGCTCTGTGGTCGGGTGTCCTGGCTGTCTCCCATTGGGCCGCCAAGCACTGATGTGGGGGGTGAGGTGTGTGAGTGTTGTGGGAGGCTGGTGGGGCGCTGCTGTGTCTCCTCAGGGTTTCTGGGGTAGTGTGTGTTTGGGCTTACTTATACGGGAAGTGTGCTAGTATTTACTCGTGTGCTTCCCTCAAAAGTACATGCTTGCTTGGAAAAAAAAAATTGCTTACTGGGGGAAGTGTACCTGAATTGTAAAGCTTATGAAACTAGTTTTGGAGAGTTCAGCAATTTTTGTTGTGGTAATCTCTATTGAAATTCACCGTAAATGCTGTTATAGCTACTGTGAGGCAACAGTGTTGCTACACTGTTTTAAGACCTGTTACTTTTACAACTAAATCTTGAATTCCGATCTTGATGAATTATCAATTCCTTATGTATACTGTAGGTAATGCTAAGAGTGCCTGGGATGCTTAGAGATGAATGAGGTGTGTTAACAGTTGTTACATTGCCAGTTCATACTAGAAATGGAAAAGTTTGAGGTTTGTTTTGGTGTAGGTCCCTTCTCTCTGTTAGAAATTTTTAATTTCTCACTGGAGCCTTTATTATGTCCTTAAATTATTTAATTGGTGTTTTATGCATCTGTGTGTTTTGGTTTGTACTGTTTTATGATTTTTGGATTGCACATAAATATTCAGGCTAAATGTCAGGTGACTCTTGTAATATGATTTGTTTTCTTTCTTCAGCAGAATTGTAAGTAAGCATCTCAAAAATAAATCTCAAAAATAATTTTCACTAATATGTAATGCTCCCCCCCCACCTCCAAACAAAAGTGAGAGAGAAAACTGTAAGAAGTTATCTTGACAGCTTTTTCTTAGATCTAGTACCGCAATATCCATGTAGGTAGTACCAGTTTTTCCCTAGTGGGGGTTGTCATCGTAGGAAGTAAGGAAGAATGTCAAACTTGAGCAAATAAACTCCTTGGAATTTATTTGCCTAGGTTCCATGCTAATGCTGCCTGCAGTGACAGTTGAAGCTGTCTGGGGAGGTAAAAAATATGACAAGTCCATAGTGGTAGATGAAAGAAGACTTCAAGGTGAAGGAAACAACAAGGTCTTACTACAATAAAGTTAGGAATAACTAATTTTGTTTCAGTGTATGAGAGAATGCTTATTAATGTAACTGTTAATACATTTTCATATGTGTATTATTAGTTTGGTAATAGAGAGAACCTAAAAGTGATACTTTAATTTTATTCCAAACTTAGACTACTGTGTGGTGATAGGATTTCTGTGGTGGTGTATGGATCTGTCAGTACTTTTTCCAAATGTATTACTGCAGCACTGGATTGATAAAAAGTTTCTTGTGTAATAACTAGGAAAATATTGCCACTGCTCTTATGACTCTAAATGTTCCAATTGGAAAAAAACACCTTTTTTCTCTCGCATTTGTATCCCCATATTGCACTAGTTGAGTAAATATTTATTAAGTATTGAGATCAGTTATGAATAAAACTGTGTTTGTGACACATCATCTTTGCTTGCAGGGGTCTTATTTAAGACTGAAGTAAAAAAAAAAAGTAAACTTGAAAGTAATGTCAGGTTTTCACTGTAGTGAAGAGATATATACAGTATTGATAACTGGTTTTAAAAGTCTTCTAATGTGGTCTTGCCATGTGAAGTCTGAACTTCTATTGTTTCTGACATATAAGTTGAGCTTGAAGTAAAATACTGATGATTTGTAAAATGGATGCAACACAGAGTTTAACCTATTGTAGGGGCAAAGATTTTCATCCAGCCTTTCTGCTAATGTATGATGCATATAATGATACATGGTCAAACAGCAGTCAGTTGTCCCAGAATCAATGTAAAATATAGAAAAATGCAGATTTACTATCACAGGCTTCATTCTGTAAGCACATACAAATTAACTCTGTATACGATATTCTTAAAGCACGAGTAGATTACTTTCCAATTGCTGTCACCATTTGTCTGCTGCTTTGCTTATGTTATGAAAGAAACCTATTTTTGCTTATAGCTTGTTATCAGATGCATCTTCAGGTTCTTATGAAGAAGTCAAGTGTTCCTTCCCTTATATTGAGATCATCATTGTGGAACATTTGAAATAAGAAACATATTCCACTAAAATATGTTACTCTTCCTTGATATGAAAGCTCTTTTGTTTTGTTTCCCGTAACTTTCATAAAACTAAACTTAAAATGGAGAGGAGTAAATCAAAATTCACTTTTTAAAATAAGTAGTAATTGTGAAACTTAGAAAATACAGTACTTTTATTTACTTTCAGGTGACAAGATGCTAAATAAAACTAGCCTGCAATCACAATTCTTTTAAGCAATCTGTGAAAATATATTCTAGATTATTTCAATTTAAAAACCAAAAGTTTAAAAGGTTACTAGTATTTTTTGTTGCCTAATTTTTATATATATATTTTTTTTAAATGTAGGCAAAAGGCTACATGTTCACTTCAGGTAGAAAGGAGCATGTTCCCAAATTCCTCCAACTTGGATTGTCCACCCTTCCCTCCAAAACATCATCAACAAAGTAATTTCTTCAATAAGCTTCCTCTAACTATACCACTTACTATTCTTTTTCACCAGCAAATTATTGATGCTCAGTTTAACTTTCAGAATGCAGCAGAAGTACAGTAAGATTTGATAGTGGGGGTTTGAGTTGAAAAAGACAGTTAACTGTCTCTTGAAAGAAGTATTTCTGTTTATGGAGGATGTTTTTCACTGTTTTTAACATTAGACTGCATTAAACTTTAAAAAGATAAGAAAGTGTCATGTAAGACAGAGCTATATCACTGCTGTTGGTGATCTGCAAGCTTTAATGCTCTTCTGTGTTGTACATAATGCATGAGATGCCATTGCACTGGTTAGAGTTAATCGCAGTTCAGTTTTAAATATTTCCAATTGTATTTGTTTACTGGGGAAATCAGGGATGAGATGAGAAGGGGAAGAAACATTTGTTCTTGGGATTAGGTCTGAAGACATGATGGTGTTCTTTAGGCTCTTAACTTTAATGCTGCCTTAAGTTAATTTTTTTTACTAAACTCTTCTTACATGCGTGTAGAATGAAGAATGGCTGTATTCTCTTTTTTTTTCCTTTAACGAGAAATACAATATATACTAAAACATCTCTTCATTTTGAATAGAAAGACAGATATATTACTTCTAAGAAAAAAAATGGTGGGTCTTAGTGAGTTTGGTTAGTACTCAAGAAAAAAATGCCAACTTCAAAAAAACATATTACTTATATGAATAACAATTATGGACTGCAGGCCTTTCAGTGGGAACCTTGCAACTATTCCAGCTGTTATACTGCAGCCCTTGACTTATGGAAATGGCAGTCCAGTGTATATGTTTGCAGCCCCCATGTCATTCCAAGGGAGAAAGTAAGTTCTTTGTGATTAATTTCAGTTGTAATGCACCTATGATGAAGTTTGTCTAATATCAATTTATTGTGCAGCTTGTATTTTGTTAGAAATTGCAAGAATACTGAATAAAACTTTTTTGATGAAACAGGCCATGTCATGGATCTTTAAAGTATTCATGAATCTGCTTTTGAGAATTTTAGTACTCATAAGTGACTTAGTATGTGTAGTTTTTATCTTCCAGCAGCTGTGACCTTACAGAACTGACTTGTATATTTTATTTTAATACTATAATAAATTGTAGTCTGTGTGTGCTTGACTATAAGAGGGTTTGTGTCAATAAAGTGAGTGTTCTCTTCCTGTTATTTTGTCAGGCTGACTGTTCCTTCAATGTTTTATGGGAATAGTGATGTTTTTCTGATATGTGCTAGATGTTTTTCCTGATTTTCTTAATCATGTGATGTTTTATTTTTCAAACACAAAGTGTTAAATTCAAGCATATATAAGTTCTGAGAAAATGAGTACAATTAAATATATATTGTGTTAAGCTATAGTTGAGTATATAACTGTCACATGAACTGAAGAAGTTTCTGGTTTTGTTCTGTATGCATGTTTTCATCTTGACCAGTCTGGTTTATGGAAATTTGCAATCAACTAGTTAATCCTTAGATCTTGAGTTAACTCTTAAAATATCTTTGCCAAAGATGAGTTCATGTAAGTTCTTGTAAGTTCTTTTTGGTTAAAAAAAGCTGAAACAGCAGCATGTTTTAATTTAACGTTATGAGTTCTTTTAAGGCTGTGGGTGGGTAATGTTATCAGAACTTCTCTCAGACTTGAAAACTGAAATGGTGATTTGAGGTTTCTTCAGTTAAACTTGTGTTTAATAATACTGTCTTTCCAGGTCCCCAAAAGCTGTGCCAGCTTTTCTGAATGCAAGAAATAACTGTAGTTTTATTAATAGATAATTCATTGATATGTATGAACATTTGATTTCATGCCTTTTTTTTTTAATTAAAAATGTGTGACTACCTTCATACTGGTTAGCTTATATGCAATACTTTATGTATAAACAAAACATGAATGTCCTCTTTTATTCTTTACTGTGGATAGACCACAGTATTAAATTACTGTTCAGCTTTCAGTACAACTTTTTGGTAATGAAGAGTTCAGATGCCAAGGGGCTGTCTGTAAGATCTCTCTTCAAATACATTTGAATTCCTGTGATAAATGACTTAATGAGAAGTTACAAGCCTGTGCTTGAAAATGAGACATTAGTTTTATAACCCATGTAGCTTAGTACAATCATTAGTTTGATTTGTCAAATGGATAGTGGTTCTTTTTTTGCCCAGATTACACATTTCACAGTACAATCTAAGCCTACACAGACAAATGCTACATTTTGAATGGCTATTGTGGTGAGTTTCTTTTTCTCCCCTCCTCACTACTGAACTTATATTATTCATCACTGGGTATTCGGAACTCACAAAACTTTCTCAGTGCACTTCTGTTGAATTTAAAGAAAAGTACACTTACGTAGTCTGTATGACTCTTAAAACAAACAAACAAAGTATATGGTCACAAAAACAGTAATACCAGCATTCATCTTTCTTAGCTGTCCTGCTTAGCTGAACTTGCCATTTAGGTTTCAATTGGTTAATACAGATACTCTTGTAAAGCAGTTGCATCAATTCACTTCAAGGGTATCTGTACTTTTGTAGTTTCTCTTTCCCATTCCAGGTTTATTTCACCTAATATCTAGGATGAGCACATCTTTTGTTCTGTAGAATACTTGCTTTTAGTGAAATAGTCGCATAATTTTTTTTTTTCCTTAGGAGGCTAAGTGAACGAAGTGTTCCATATGATGCTAAACGGCAGCGGTTTCATTCACCTCAAGCAACTGTAGTTAACCAAGCAGTGCCTTTACCAGAAGAATGTTGGTATTACTTCTCAGGACCAATTCCATCTCCGCTATTCCATGTGTATTACCCACCAGATTTAACTGGATATGTCCCTCTGTTGCAAGATACTTCATTTCCAGACCCTATAGAAACCACGCTCCCTGTGGCAAAAGATAAGGTAATATCTTTCTATGCCTGTGCTTTACATTTGCCTTCTGAGTAGGCAGGATCCAATGATGCTATGGCAGACCACAAAAATTTCTGCAAGGTTCTGTGATAGTGTTGTGGAGTCTCTATTGCTGAGCTGTCATTAATGTAGGTGCCACTACAGTCCTATATAGCCTCCTTGTGTGTTTGGTTTTGGAGCATTTTGGTGGGGTTGTTTAGGGGTGTTTGTTTTTCATACTAATGTTGGAAAATCTACTTGTCTGTCAGCAGAAGATAGCTCTGGTCTTTCACTGCTTATTCTCCAAAAGGCTGCAGATACTGATGGGGCAACAATTACTTTCTGTGGATAGATATCTTATAAAAGCTTGAACAAATTTACATTTTAAAACTTTGCAGAAATTTCTTCTGGGGAGGTGTTCAATATGAATTCAAGTGCAGTAAAACTCTAGACAATGGAATAGACTGTGAAACTTTTTTTTTTAATGCTGTCTTCTATGTTTGATGTAATTGCATCTCTTGCAGGAAAGAATTTTCAATTCTCTTTACTTTTTGAATGTGTGTGTCAAGTTAAGTCAGCAGGTTTTGGAGTTGTTTCAAGCATGTCAGCAACAGGCCTGTGATTTGAACAGAAAAGAGCTTTGCAGAATGGAACTCCAAGGAGAAATTCGGCGTATTTTTCCACGTATGTTTTGAATTTGATTACTTAATATCAGTTTGACCTTCAAGTTCATAGTTCTTTCTTCCTTCTTAAACTATGGCATGTTGCATCAGTTTTTATTTCATGATTCTTCTGTTGCAGAGAGCAGACTCTTTTTGGTTGGGTCCTCACTGAATGGATTTGGCACTAATAGCAGTGATGGTGACTTGTGCTTGGTGGTTAAAGAAGAACCAGTAAGTAATATTAAAAAAAATACATTTTAAATATAGAATTTAATTATATATGTGTGTTTATAAGGATGGATTCTAAAATGAGAAACAAATGTTCAAATCCTTTTGATATAATAACACAGTTTTGCACTTAATGCTTGTGAACTGTGAGTCCAATAATGTTGCAAATATTAATTTAATGGGTGAACAAAGAACAGCAAAATGGAGAAGTAAGTTGTCTAAAATCATGAAGAAAATTGCTTAAAGAAATCTAATTTTAGATGCAGGAACAACTTCTAATAAGTACATTTTTTTTATTTCTGTATTTAGATTCATAGCCACTAATTTTAGTGAGCAGGCATAAGATATTTTGCATATCAAATTCCTTCTTAAGTGTTTTTGGTGAGAGAAAATGTTTGAGTAGAATTTTAAGTTGAGAGAAGATTTAACAAATCTAAATGGAGCATAATTTTGGAAGAATTGAAACACCATTGAAAATGAATTATGTTTTTGTATAAGTGGGGCTAGATTTCCCTCAAGTTCTGTGATTTGTGAATGTCTGATAGTTACTTTGCATGTTGAATATGAATTGTTTTGTCTGGCTTTTGCTACACTAAATGTATTTGTAGACTGAGGAATATGTTCATACTCATGTACATGTCTTATTTTGAGAATAACTTTTTATTTTAAAGGTAAAGAATGCTTATTAGATACCATTTTTTTTTCTTTAATATATTTCAGGTAAATCAGAAGACTGAAGCAAGGCTTATACTCAGCTTAGTCCAAGAACTCTTCAGTACTGAACTTTGTAAGTTCCTGGCTACAGTGAGGTGGTAACATTATTGGCGATTCTGGAAGAAGTATTGATGCACAGTTGTAACTAACTTGCGTAATTGCATGTTGTCTAGCTTCTAATAACAGTATTGTTTGGGGAAAAGCTATAAATATTTAGTACTGTTACTTATCTTGGTGCTGATGGATAGTAATTAGAAAAATGTAAGGGTTACCTTCCAAGCTAGTAGACTTCAAGAACAGGTAGCATCTAAAATGACTTTTGAATAGTGGACCACAATTGTAAGGAGGCAGGGGAAATGGATTTCTCTTTGGAAAACCTGTAGGTGAAATCTTGCATGTCCTCTATTGTCATTAAAGCAAAAGGTAAATAAAGCTTATCCCCTCTTTGATGGAAAGTGGTGTCCTGTTTTCAGTAGTAATTTGATAGCAAATGTCTTTCTTGGTGTGTACTTCAGTCAAAGAAATAGTTCTTGAAGTTTTAAGCATGATCAGTGCATAGTGATGATACAGTTACGTTAATATTTTTTTGATCAGTAAAATGCATAACTTCAACTGTAAGCAGTCTAGACACGATTAACAAGTATGCAGCTGATAAAGTGCCCCTTGCTACGATGTGGTGCTGGTCTTAAGTATCTGGCCATTCTGGATGGGTCTGTTCTTGCTCCTTTCTTTTTGAACCTTAATTATTCAAGATTTCTATTATAAGTACTGCTCAGTGAAAGCTTTGTAGATCTGCATTCCTTCTTGAATATACTTCCTACAGAAAAATTTTTTGCTAATTTTTTTCTCTGGCATTTAGTACGGTTTTTTTTTTCCACAGACTTTCCTAGATTGTATTTTTGCTGCAGTTGCTAAAGGTTACATAGTTTAGCACAACCCTTTCAAGAATATACTTGCTAAATTTAATAAGCTACTATTTCCTATAGATCAGTCAGTTTGACTCTAGGATCTTTTAAGATCAGCATCTTACACGGAACTTAATTGCATCTTTTTCTCCCTTTCAGCAGGCTACATTGAACAAGCTCAGCTGATTCAAGCAAAAGTGCCAATAGTGAAGTTCAGGGATAAAGTCAGGCAAGTATTCTGTTCAATATCACTTCTTAGACTCTGACACAAGAAAATATCTATGTACTGTCCATATGAGTAGTCCCACTGAAGTTATGCTTTGTGTTGTACTATAGTTGGGTTGCAAATTTGTACAGCTAGTGTGCAGTGGCAGTCAGCTTACTTCCTCGATGACCTGAAACACCTCTTGTGGTTGAGATGCTTTTTAGTTTCTGTGATGTGAATTAATAGGGATACATCATGTATTTCTATGGGTGATTTGTCTAGTTGACAGATGGTTCATGACAGGGAAGCAACAGAGGGAAGAAAACTGTTGTGAAAGATAATTTTGCTTTCTGTGCAAACATCTTAACTCTTGAGCTATTAATTTGCAGCTTTTACACTATACCAACAACACTGAACCAAACTTTAGTTTCTTGTGATAACATTGTTTGCTTGATTAATTTATTTTTTTGTCCATTTTAGCAGTATATTCTGCTGTCTTCTAGGGAGGTATTCTGTGTTTAACAAAGTGTAGTATTGCATATTGGTCATGTTTACAATTTGAACTAATAAATATAATCCACTAAGCTTTTCTTGCATCTGAGATTATATAATGCTTGTTAGGCTTTTGATATATACTTTCTTTCATTGACACTGAATCCCATATTTACTTCTATATGCTTGCCCATCTTTTAAAAATTGGAATAATTTTTATCTAATAACTTTCCCATCTAACAATACAGAAGCTAAAATTTGTGTTATATGGCTTAGCTACATATAACAATGTTAGTCTTCATAGATAAGTTCAATGGTCATTCCTGGTAAAAATCTTCTATAAATCATGGAGCTACAGCAAGAATATTTTTTTCCAATTTAACATAAGAAAATAAACTTTACAAAGAAACCTTAAGTATGGAAGTGATTAGGTCAGAAGGTGGAAGTCTTTTGTAGGCATTTATAGTCCATACTATGGTTAATTGCAAAAAAACTGGATATTAAGATACAAAAAAAAAAAAAAAAAAAAACCAAAAACCACAACACCAGAAAAACCAAAACCCAAAAAAACCAACCACACAAACCCCCACCAAAAAAACCCCACAACTCCAAACAGTCATGATATTTGTATACCTTAGACAAGACTTAAAGAATACTTTA